TTTTTGGGAATATTCAGCAAAGGAGATCCAGCCTGGATTTTTGGGAATATTCAGCAAAGGAGATCCAGGCTGGATTTTTGGGAATATTCAGCAATATCCAGGCTGGATTTTTGGGAATATTCAGCAATTTTCTTCCCGCCAAAACCCCGAGCATTCCAGACCCATTCCCACCTCCTGGAGCTGCTCCCGGAGCTGCCGGAGGAGCCGGAGGCAGCTCTGGCCGTGCTCCCGGAAAGGTTTGAGGAGCTCCGAGTGCAGAGCCGGAGCCAGGGAGCTCTCGGAGCTGAAATCCCGCAGGAATTCCTTCAGCACCGCCTTGTGCCGCTTCCAGGCCTCGCTGGAAAATCGGGAATGAGGAGAAAAGGTCGTTAATTCTGCTGGAATCGCCGTGAAAAAATCAGGGAATTGGGATTTTCAGCTGTCAAAAGATGGGATTAAAGGGAATTTCATCCCACCCTTTCCCTAAACCCCAGAATTCGGATTCTAAATGGAGTTGGGAGAGCTTGGAAAGAGGAAAATCCTGGAATTGTCCCTAAATCCCAGAATTCAAAATTCAGAGGGAGCCGGGAGAGCTTGGAAAGAGGGAAATCCCGGAATTGTCCCTAAATCCCAGAATTCCAACTCAGAGGGAGCTGGGAGCGCTTGGAAAGAGGAAAATCCTGGAACTGAGCCACGGAAAAATTGGGAATAAAGGGTTTGGGAATGGGCTCTTTAGAAATTCACATTTTCATTCCCTGTTTCCATCAAAATCTGGGATTAGAGGAATTCCCAGCCAGATTCCTGCTTTCCAATCCCATCTTTTCCCTAAATCCCCAAATTTCAAGTTGCTGACTCCAGAAGGAGCTGGGAGAGCTTAGAAAGAGGAAAATCTTGGAATTGTCCCTAAATCCCAGAATTCTGACTCTAAATGGAGCTGGGAGTGCTTGGAAAGAGGAAAATCCTGGAATTGTCCCTGAATTCCATGGATTCCCAAGATTCCCAAGGATTTTCCAGCTGCTGACCTCTTGTTCCCAGCCGCCCGCTCGAATCCTTGAACCACCACGAAATTGGCGAAGGTGACAAAATACCTGGAAAAAATTCCAAGGATACACGGGAGAAGGAAATTCGGGATGAATTTCGGGATCCCAAATCATTGGGAAATTCCCTTAATCCCACTAAAGGTCGGATTGGATCCGGGAATTTTTTTCCGACTTTAATTCCAGGATTTTTGGGCATAAAAGCGCTGATGGGAGCGGGATCCGTTTCCATCGGATTTCATGGAATGAAATTCCTGCCTGTAGGAATTCCTCAGCCCGGAATTCCCATCAGAATTTGGAAAATCTGGGAATTCTGGGATGGAAATGATGGAATTGTTTCGGTTCTGAGCTCCATTCATTTTACCAAACTCAGAATTTTCTTTTCCCATTTAATATTTTCCACAATTTTTTTTCCAAGAGCTGCAATTTTACCAAAAATTCCCGGAAAATCACAGATTTTCCCACTCAAATCCCAGATTTCCCCAACAAATCCCAGATTTCCCCAACAAATCCCAGATTTTCCCACTCAAATCCCAGATTTCCCCAAGAAATCCCAGATTTTCCCACTCAAATCCCAGATTTTACCACTCAAATCCCAGATTTTCCCACCAAATCCCACATTTTCCCAACAAATCCCAGATTTCCCCAACAAATCCCTGATTTTCCCAACAAATCCCAGATTTTCCCACTCAAATCCCACATTTTCCCAACAAATCCCACGTTAAACCCGGGTTTAATTCCAAAAGAAACGGGAATAAAATCTCCAGACAAATTCCTTTGGATCATTCCCAAATCTCATCCCAAATTCCCATTTTTTTCCCCATTTCTTCAGGAAAACCAACTTGAATTCCCGGGATTTTGATCCAAAGTGGAAAATCCAAAGTGGAAAATCCCAACTGGAAAATCCCAACCTGGAAAAATTTTGGCCACTTTTATGGAGAAGAAAAAAGGTGGAATTAAAGATTTTTATGGAATTTCAGCTCTCCATAAGATTTGATTCCCTTTGGAATCTCAGGTCCCGACCCAAAAGCACAAATTCATGGAAAAAAAAACCCCAATTCAATAAATTTTCTGGGATATTCTGAGGATTCTCATCCCGATTTTTCCTGATATTCCCAACCGGGATCCACGGAATCCCGTTTTCCCGCTCTGGAATAATTATATAAAAATTATATAAAAATTATATAAAAATTATATAAAATTATATAAAAATTATATAATAATGTAATTATATAATAATATAATATATAATATATAATAAATAATACATAATATATAATACATAATATACAATATATAATAAATAAATCATAATAATAATATAAATAATAAAATAGAATAAAAATAATAATATGTATAATAATATTTATAATAATAATGATAATAGTAATAATAAATAATGATAATGATAATGATAATGATGATAATAATAATAATAATAATAATAATAATAATAATAATAATAATAATAATAATAATAATAATAATAGTAGTAACAAATAATTCCGGCTCTCACTGGATGGAGAGGCTGAGGAAGAGATCTCCTTTCCAGAGGATGTAAAAATCCTGGATACAGCCGGAATCGGAGCCCCTCAGTATCCGGGAATTCTCCTCCGTGAAATTCCAGAGGGCTTGGAAGCGATCGTTGAGCAGCACCAAGAGCTGGAAATTCTCTTTTTCCTTCGGATCGTTGGGTTCTGGGACGGGAAAAAAAATCGGGAAAAATGCAGTGGGAATGCCGTGATTCCCCAAAAAATTCATGGAATGTGGCTTCTGATAAAAACAAAAGGGAAAAGGGGAAATTCCAAGGAAGAAATTCCATGATTTAGGGAAATGGGGAGCCAAAAAAAACCGGGAAAATGGATCTGAAAAAGGGAAAAATCCAGGAATTTTCCCTGTTCCTGGAGTTGGTTTTGCTGGAATGGGATAAAATCCATCCCAAACTCTCCGGGAGCTCATCCCGGTGCTCCGGAGGGAAAATTCCCGTCTTTTTCCCAAGGAATTTCCCACTTTCCTTGGAATCATCCCCAAGGGAATTCCTGGAATGGCTCCAGGAATTTCCCTGGATTTCAGAGCTGTTTGGATTCCCTGGATTCCATTCCCAGGAATTTTCCCATCCGGGATCAGCCTGGAACGGGAGCAGGGAAAGAGGAGGAGCCAAATTTTAGGGATTTATGGATGAATTCTCCACGGATCCATCCCAAAAAAACACAACCCCGAGCTCGGGCTTCCCGATTTTAGAGAAAACATTCCCAAAAAACATTTCCCAGTGGGAATTCCAGATCAAAATCCCCTGGATTTACCTGCCTGGAGCAGAGGTTTGAGGATGAGGGCGTCGAGCCGGGCCAGGCACGAGGAAAATTTTTCCTCCTCTTGGAGCAGCGATCCCAGAATTCCCGGCACGGACATGGCCTGGAAAACACCGGGAATGACCGGAATTCCTGGGAATGGAATCCCTGGGATCCAGTCCAAGGGTTTTGATTTTCCTTGGATCGATTCCCCGCCCTCAGCGGCGATCCCAGCTGGGCCCATCCCAAAAATCCTCGGGAAAAGTTGGGAAAGGGATGAAAGGGAACGGCTCAACTGGACACAACCGAGCTCAAGATTCCCAGATTTCCCCAAATTTTCCCCATTTTTCTCAAATTTTCTTAAATTTTTCCCAGGTTTTTTCCCAAATTTTCCCCATTTTTTTCTCAAATTTTGCAAAATTTTTTTCTCAATTTTTCCCAATTTTTTCAATTTTTTTCAAATTTTTCCCAGAGTTTTTTTCCCAAATTTTCTCAGATTTTCCCAAATTTTCTCAAATTTTCCTGATTTTTCTCAAATTTTCCTGATTTTTCTCAAATTTTCTCAAATTTTTCCCAGAGTTTTGTCCCAAATTTTCTCAAAATTTCCCAGTTTTTTTTCTCAAATTTTTCCAAATTTTCCTAAAAATTCCTGGATGAAATTCCCCAAGGAAATCCTCCCCAATTCCTGATGAATTCCCCGCAATTCCCAGAGGAAATTCCTTGACAAAATTCCCACAATTCCCACAGGAAATTCCCACAATTCCCACAAATTCCCAGAGAAAATTCCCCCCCAATTCCAGGCAGAAATTCCCAGGGCGCTTTCCCACCCAAAGCTTTTCCCAAGGGAATTCCAGTTGGGAATTCCGGCTGGGAATTCCAGTTGGGAATCCCAGGGATCCTGACCTGGCCATTCCCAATCCTGCAGCTTTTTCCCGCTCCCATTCCCAAAAAATCCTCCCCCTCTGGAATCACCAATCTCCAAATTCCCGCCTTTATCCCCAAATTCCTCTGGAATTCCCGCCTTTATTCCATCCAAAACCCCTTCAGGGCAGGATTTTTGGGATAATCCCACCCGGATTGTCAAATATTCCCATTTTTTTTTGGCCTTTTGGGAATGCAGGAATC